TGACTCCTTAGAGAGGCTGGACCCTTTTCTGTGCTCTAGGTAAAATGCTCTATACGTCACTAATCAAACCATAATTTGCTTAACGTGACCTCACAGTGACACATATGTTTCATTGCGGCCCTGAATATTCTATTCACACCAGAGTAATGCAAATCTGTTCAGATCTGAACTATATCAGTTGTTAAAGCAGAATCTTCTCGCAGCTCTCACTGAAGCTTTCCCATCTTTGCTTGGTTTTGTTTCAGGTTGTGTCTTGGTAAGACCATTATCTTGCTTTCACACAGTGCCTTTCATCTAAAGACTTTAGAAGCATTCACAGAACTATTTTCATCTTCATTACCCATATGGAAAAATCATGAAGCAAGCAGATGATGAATGCATGATGATTGGCAGCTGACAGTCAGTTAATGAGTAGCTGACATGGGAGTGGAGCGCAGACATATGGCTCTTTGCACTGAACAGTCGCTTGCACTTAAGTACACAGAAAGGTGATAAGGGCTGGTATCTCCTTCTCCTGAAGGAACAAGGGATGCATCTACTATTTCAGAGTAGGAGGAGACCTCAGTTGGCAGCTGCCTTGTCATGTGCAGAAGGTAAATCAAGATTTCTTTTTCCCAGGCTTAAGGGATGAGTCTTTGAGCACAGAGTTCCCCACTGCTGCCTCTAAAAACTGCTCAGCATTCTTCCTTCCTTGAATATGACCATAGCTGCACTGAAGAGCTCCCAGTTTGCTGAACTGCGATTGAGGAGTGGTTTCAGCCATGCAAACATTGCATGTGGGGAGTACAGGAGTGTGCTCCCGTTGGATCTGTGATAGATGTCCTTCCACGATGGTTAATGATTATGTTCCTGACTGAACTGGTAATCTGCAAGCCACTTCTTGCAGGAATTAAGGGCTCCAAACTGTAACTTAAAGTAAATGTTTGATACCGAAACAGTGAAAAAACAAATCTTGTGAAAGTATAGAAAAAGCATAAGCTATTCCTTTTTCCTAACATGGTCCCTTAGCTGGAAACTCAATTATTAGTACAACTGTCTGAATGAATACAACCAGGGAGCTAACTATGGCCAGCTAACAAGTGTTTCAAGTTGCATGTGATTTAATTAAAAATGGACCTGTTAAAAACTAAGAGATAAATGTCTCCTTTTAAATGACTACATTTTTAACAGTACCTAATTTCCTAGCTTGCTTTCCTACACTATTCTCTACAGTCTAGCCTATACTCCTAGGCTTCTAGTAATTCTGCTTACCAGCTGTCAGAAATGAATCAGCTTTTAATTCCTGGAAACCAAAACAGGACACAGCAGTGACCGTGCTGTTCCAGCTCTTGATTTAATAGAGTTTTGGGTTGCCTTTATGGTCTCTCAGTGTCCCCAACTGAAAAGCCTATTCCTGCTCCTTGGAGTTCAATATCACATCTTGACCTGAAAGCCCTGTTTTTGATATCCTTTGTAGACTAATGGAAAATATACTTAGCTAGGAAACCTGCTGGTTAACCCTCTTGTGAGACCTTTTTGTTCAGTGCTTTTACGCTTTCAAGTTGCATAGAAAATGTTCACTAGGTGATTGATAATATAGGTTTGTAGCACTGTGATGTGAATTCAGGAAAGCACTTAAGGAAATGGTTATATTGATGGCAGGGTGATTAAAGACATGTTTAAATGAAACACATGGCCATATGCTTTGCAGGACTGAGTACTTTCCTGGAACAGTTGAATGAAGATATAAACCTCAGAAAACAGATATACATCAAACAAAACTCCCAGGCCTTCCAAACCATTGATATCTTCATAATCCATGTGAAACCATTATTTCTCAATATGCACTCATAAAGCAGCATATTAGCAATATTGAGAGGGATATTAGAATTACATTTCCAGAGCTTACTTGCACACATAGACATGCATGATGTTACAATGAAATGGAGAGGGTGAGACAGCTAAATAACAGGCTGCATTTCAAAACCAGTCATTGAGAGTGGTGGCATTGATTTGCGTAAAGACGGATGGTTACAGGAGAGGCCCAGTGCTCTATATATATGATTGATTTTCTTTCTTTTAAATGCTGACTAAGGAAAAGAGGACCATTCCCTTTGTGCTCAGAGGGGACACATCTCATTGCTGCACTTCACAACGGGAGGTGAGATGTTCAGGAAATTGCATAAATTTGTGAACAGTTCAAAAAACACAAGTGGCATTTCTCAGCCATTTCTACATTACTGAAAAATAACCTGTAAATACTTTAATAGTATGAATTGAAAGCTTTCCATAGGAATATAAAGATTTAATGTTAAGATTCTATCTATCCGTTCTGAGAAAAAGACAAAACCCAGTTACATATGAAGGTTTCATATTAAGATTATGATTGAAACTTCTTCCCTATAAACTCTTTTCCATGTTAGTCTTTCATCTTTTTCTTCTGCTTTTGGCATTTATTGTTAGTATCCCATGAAATCTGTTTATATTAATATTAAAATTAATACTTTATAGTTCATTCCTAAATAAGTTTTAATAGTCATAAATTCAGTTCTCTCCTGCAACTATTTTAATAGCTCTCTTCCTCATTGGGAACATTTAATGACTACATGTGGTGCTTAAAGCAGAAACGATAGACAAAGAATGTGAAGGTTCCATGAAAGTTCTAGTAACAAAGATATGGAAAAAGAAGAGAATAAAAACTGTTTAGTTATGCAACATGGATAAGCTTATTGGCATTTTATTGTCACTTTTCTGTCATTTGCAGAATCTCATGCGTCATATTGGACAAAAATATTATTAATTAACCAGCCATTCCTTGACTGCAATAATCACAGTAACTATGTTCAGTCCAAAGAGAGTTTCTGCAATCTGTCTGTAATTATGTATGTGTCTGCCATTGGTAGATCGGTTAGCAAACAATGCAATGGACTGATAACAGCAAAGCATAAAGCATTGGTTTTGATATAGAACTTTACAATCAAGAGCAGCAGATGAAGGAAGCAGAGGGGCTTTAAGGTATGTCATTCCTTCTATTGCATCCAAGTTTCTGGAGACCTTTACCTCACTGCTGAGTACACATCACACAACAGAACTTACATTTATAAATTATAAAACCTTATCTCTAAAGTCTCAGGTCTTGGGGGAGACCATGAGAAGGAAAGAACTGAAATGCAACGTTACAGTTGGAGGTGGGGGTGAGGGAGGGGTGGGGGAGGGCTTGATGACAAGAATTTTAGTAAAATTCTATTTTTCAGAAAAATATGTTTTAAGGCTCCTCGTCAACATGTATTCAGGCAATGTTAAAGGGAACTCAGGAGAGGAACTGCTGGAGTGTGATTCCCTCATACTGAAGAAGAGGCCTTAAGATGTATGCTTTCCAATACACGGTGTAGCTGCAGACTTTAAATACAATATTCCCTGGGGGAGTAACTATAATGATAATATTAAAAATGGCTATAAATTTTGATATTAACGGAGAAATATGAATAACACTATGCTATTTATGAAAGCTTCTTTATTAATCACCATACTGAAAAGCACTTAGTTATCTAAGCGCTAGCTTTATTCTTCTGGGGACTGTTGATGGGCCAGTATCGCTTTTACTCTTTGTTCATTCCTGTTGCTGCGAGATTTCCATGAGTAGGGGTGCAGGTGGGGTGATAGGATATACTTCACTGACCTTGGTGTCTGCAGGGTTGTTTCTGTCACATTTTTTCCTCACACCTCTCTCTCACAGCTGCTGTGCAGTGTTTTTTTGTCCTTTCTCAAGTGGTATCACACAGATGCCACCAGCATCGCTGATGGGTTCATCTTTGGCCAATGGTGCATTCATTTTGGAGCCGGCTGGAACTGGCTCTGCCCGACATGGGGCAGCCCCTGGTCTCTTCTCACAGAAGATGCCCCTGCAGCCTCCAGCTGCAAACACCTTGCCACCTAAACCCAATACAAACATGTGAACGTATTTTGATATGCCAGTGCAATGCACATGTATTCACGCACTTTCTTGCTTTGACTAAAAAGAACCAAGTTTTCTGTATTTAGAGGCTGTTTTATAAGGTTAAATGTTCTTAACCAAATGTTAAATGCAGTAGCAGCTGCCAGTGTATATTGATCTGGTTGCTGGAGATTAGTTTTAATTGGTTCTATTGCTGGTGTGCAGTTCAACGTTAATGGTACGGTGGTGTTCTTCGCACAGGGCTGAGCAGCTGGCTCTGCAGCCAGCACAGCCCCCTTGGCGCAGCATGCCTTGCTCCACTGTGCCTCACAAAAAAAGCAATACTGGGAAAAACACAAGTTTTACATGGCATTTTAAGGCGCTGAATCCACCTACATCCTCTCCCTCGTTTCAGTTGTGATTTCAGCAGCAACCAGCGTACCTCTTGTGGCAGTTTCTTCTGCTTTCACTGAACTGCAGCCCTTGTGAAATCCCATGGGATTATACGCATGGCATATTCTTCCACTTTACAAATAAGTAACTTTCCCTGTTACCTATGCCTTACTCCATGTGTCATGAGCATGCAATCAGAGCTCATTAGAGGTTTTTGTCAAGTACGTTTTTAACAAATCAACATCCTACTTTATAACACAGAGTATAGTTTGTGTTTGTTCTAAAGAAGGAAAGAAAACTTGCAAAAAAGAAAAGAAAAAAAAAAGTAAGGGGATTTTGTTTGTTTTCTGTTTCAGGAGTTTCAGTAACATGTAAGAAACTCCATAGTTAATCTCAGGAGAAAATTGTGGTTTGTGTGTAAAGTGGTTTTCAGGGAACAAAATACATTTCTCAGTGATTGCCCACTAGTGTAATAATGCAGTAATCTGTGCTGTGTGAATTATCCTGAATAAGAGATTTATTGCACATAGTCCTTAAGGAGTGTGTTATTTAAACCCTGGGATTAGGGGACATGGTTTAAAAGCTGAGTAATTTATAAATTTTGCTAATCTATTAAATTAGTAATGTAATTTATAGAGTTTTCAAAGCTGTTACTTGTGTTTTCCTTATACCAATGGGGTTTCTCTGGGTCCAGATGGGCAAGAGGAAGTTCAGTGGGCTGGAAATCACCCTGATCGTCCTCTTCTGCCTGGTGGCGATCATAGCCTGTGTCCTCATTGGGCTTTTAGCATCAGGACAATCCGGAGTCAAAAATACAGGTAAGTACTTCCCATTGCTGCTGTACGACCAGAGCAAAAACGCTCAGTGGGAACTGCTCATCTCTGCTTGCTGAGACTCTTGTAAGTGCCACAGAGCTTCAGGAACTAACCCCTGGCATCACTTCTGTCACTGTTTGATTCAGACTTTTCAAGAACATGGATATTCAAGTGAGGAAAGAAAAAAAATCACTGTAAGCGCTGTAAAAAAAAAAAAAAAGACACTGTAAAGTACTGACTGTCAGTGTTGCTGTTATGTTCTTATCATTACCCAAAGGTGAATCATGGTCAATCCTTCCTACAGATAATATGAGTAAAGTTACCAGTTATGAACATAATAAATAGTGCGACTCAGAAATTATTGTCATGAAAAGCTTTTATCCCTCTCTCCCAAGACTGGACTTGTTTTATAAACATAGAACTGGTATGATTTCAAAATTTTTTAGTATAAAAAAGACAACGCTGAAAAAAAGGGATCAGGGAGACTATGTGGGAGCAGCCAAATTGTGAGGAACATCATACATTATAAACATAAAAACCTGTAGTGTTTTTTGCTAATGCATTGGCACATTAGAAACCACTTGTCTTACAGGGATGTGATATAGAGCACCCTGCTTTCCATACAGTTCCATTTTAGAATCATAGAATCATAGACTAGTTTGGGTTGGAAGGGACCTCTAAAGGTCATCTACTCCAAATCCCCTGCCGTGGGCAGGGACATCTTCAACTAGATCAGGTTGCTCAGAGCCCCGTCCAACCTGACCTTGAATGTTTCCAGGGATGGGGCAGCCACCACCTCTCTGGGGAACCTGTGCCAGTGTTTCACCACCCTTATTATAAAAAATTTCTTCCTTATATCTAGTCTAAATCTACCCTCTTTTAGTTTAAAGCCATTCCCCCTTGTCCTGTCGCAACAGGCCCTGCTAAAAAGTTTGTCTCCATCTTTCTTATAAGCCCACTTTAAGTATTGAAAGGCTGCAGTAAGATCTCCAAAGCAAGGATGGAGATGGAAGTAAGGGTGTGCTTTTTTTTATGTCAGTGCACAAGATTTTATGAATTTATGTTGGAGAAAGGAGAATTTTGAGGGAATAATGAGGTTTGATGTAACTGTGATATGTTTTTCTTTCTCACAGTGTTGAATAGCTTTTTCTCCTGGACAGGTAAGTCCAGCTTTCTTGGGCCCCTCTTCCCTCCAGGGCTTTGTCCCACGGCACTCTGGCCAAGCAGATCCCTGAAGAGGCCAAAGTCTGCTCTCCTGAAGTCCAGGGTACTGAGCTTGCTGTGCACCCTCCTCAGTGTCCTAAGGATCTTGAACTCCACCATTTTGTGGTCACTGCAGCCCAGGCTGCCCTTGAGCTTCTCATTCCCCACCCGCCCCTCCTTGTTGGTGAGAACAAGGTCCAGCATAGCACCTCTCCTCGTTGGCTCCTCTACCACTTGGAGAAGGAAGTTATCATCGACGCATTCCAGGAACCTCCCGGATTGCTTATGCCCTGCCGTGTTGTCCCTCCAACAGAAGTCGGGGTGGTTGAAGTCCCCCATGAGGACCAGGGCTTGTGAGCGTGAGGCTGCTCCTATCTGTCTACAGAGGGCCTGATCCGCTCGATCTTCCTGGTCAGGTGGGCCTGTAGCAGACCCCCATGGCCTGTAGCAGACCCACACTCATTTTGTATGAGTAATCCCATTTGCGCACGGGGATTGAAGCAAAAAGCTTGGAGGTGAAAATGACAGTAAAATAAAAATAATTGCTTGTCCAAAACAAACATTTTGGTGTTTTAGTAAAGCTGCCCATACAGACTGATATCTGCATATTTTCTGCCTGTTTCTGTCACAAGATGACAGGAGTCTGCCTGAGCAAAAAGTACAAGTGCGTGTATCGCAGATAATGTAAAGAGAGGAGTCCGTGTATTTGTGTGCATCTCAGCCTGAGACAAGATTTCTACACTTCATAGTTCTCATTCCAAACATATACAGTGTTCCAGTGTATACAGTACATAAAATATATGTAAAGTAACTTTCAGTGTTGGGAGAAACTGGAAACAACCATCGAGTAAGTACCCTTTTGTCAGCTAAAGTTGCCAAGAGGTCACCTTAAATTCGGACTGAGAAACCTGAAATCTAATTTTAATTTGTCATGTATTTTCACAAGAAGCAATGCATACTGAGCTACAGGACTTACTGAAAACTGGATTAATGTATAACTTAAGAAATAAAATTATCAATGTCACCCGTATGTTCAAAAACTTTAAAGTGAAGTTGTCCTACCTTTATCTGAAATAGTTGTGTGCAAATTTTCAAAGGTAAAAATAAATCACACTAGCAATAATTTATTCATTTGAATTAATATTAATGGTTAGAGTTTCAAGATGGTGAGAAACAGCCAGCAGAAGCAGTTACTGGGTTAAGAGGTAATCAAGTTATTCCTACATTTTGGAAATCCTGGTAATAACCCATTAATTTATTTCCCTAACAGAATTTTCACCAGAATGTCCGAACATATTAATAGCAGAGAGAATTGACTGCATCCCGGATCAAGTAGCGACAAAGGTCTGAAAACATTCTAGAAAAAATTAGAACATAGGCTTTATCCCATAAAGCTTCATGCTTAGTTACAAAAGTTTAACTTGTCTCTACTATACCAGTTGTTTTCTTAACCTTTTTAAATCTGTGATTGCCTGAACACTTTGCAGGGAGGTGTAACTCCTGTATAACCCATTTCAGCCCATTGGCAGAAGGTCTGATTTTTCTAGCCACTGTAGCAGTTTGCTGTCAAAGGTTGAAGACCACTGCCAAAGTACTCCCCAGCAGTTTGGTTTTGGGACAGCTGGAAACAAAATTACTCAGACATCAAGCAGTTTAAAAAAGTCACTCTCTTAACAACTTTGCTTCAACAGTTTATTTTTGTCTGATGGTCAAGTACTAGCATTTATAATAGTTCAGAAATAGCAGGTGAAGGTGCACTTTACCCAGATGCACAAGACTTTTATAATATAAGTGACATGGTCACAGTTTCCTTTCAGAACCAATTTGAATCTCAATGTCTTCCTTTCTTGGTTGTGGTGTCTCTTATCTGGGAAAGCGCAGAGTTTAGAAATGACTTTTTGGCTTAAGAATCTATGAGTTAAGATTCCCGGTGAAAAGTATTATCTGAATTTTTCAGTGCTCTCGCATTCAGAACATTTTTGTAGTGGTTGGTCCTGAAAGGCTATTATTATTTTTAGTATCATTTCACAGGATTAGAGATAAATATTACCTTTAACCTGTGTGCTGATGAAAGCTGTTGGGTGCATGCCTGACACAAGCCAGAGTCCCACCCCAGTGTGTCCATTCATTCCTGTACAAATTTTCTCCCGGAAGCATTTTGGTTGTCCTTCTTTAGGCTATTCTAATACAGCAGCCAGCAGAGCTGTAAAACTACAGGTACCTGCTAAGAATAACACAACTCTTCTGTAGTGGTTTCCATTAGTGTTTTTCAGAATAAACAGTAGCTGGGAAAATTATGATTTGCCTAAGCTCATACAGCAGGTTAGTGTCTGTCTTGATTTCTTTATTCACTGAAGATGTCCTAGATGAAGCCAGAAAATGAGTAGGATTGCAGAGAATAGAAGTATGGAAAGCAAATAGATATTTATTAACCGATCTCAGGGTTGACGAAGATAGACATGCTGAAAGAAAGTAGATATTTATTAACTATTCACTGCTGTGGAAAATTGCCATGAAGTTTGATTAGACAATAAGAATGCACTAGTAAAAAATGAACTACCATGAGCAGAGCTAGTGTTGTCCATTATTGGACTGATACCTCTGAAAGCTTGGGGCAAGGGTGTATTGTTGGTTTTGTTTTGGTTTGTGTGGTTTTTTCCCCAAAATATCCTGCTGGCAGAGGTTTGTTTGGGCGCACATAAGAGAAACATTTTGGTTCAGCACACAGACAAGCTGTTCTTTTTAATCCTTGGTGCTCAGTTCAATGCTCAGAAGCCATGTCGTCCTGTACCCCAGCATAAACTGTTTCCTGGTATCCAGGATTATTTCTAATTAAGCTTTGACTTTCTCTTTGGCTTTATTGGGTATTGGTATTTATTATGCTGGTTTTATAGCTCAGAGGCTGTGGTCAGCTCACATCTTTATTTACACTACATGATAGCTTTTATAACAGCCTCTCCAGTGTCTTTGGATGAACTCTGCTCCTTTCCCTGTGTCAGGTGTAACCGGTCTTGCACTTCTGTATTTACTTCCTTATGCAGCAAGCTCAATGTGCCACAAAAATACAGAGCTATAGCTTACAAATCCAGTAGAATAAGATCTAGCTAGAAGACTATCACTGGGCTGTAAAGTAACTGCTGAAAACAGTCAACAAGTATTCATGAGAAGTAGCTGGAGAAAAAGACAAGCATGCTTATGAAGTTGGGAGCGCAGATGCCTGAACTACCAGGCTTTAAGAAAATCTGTTGTTCAAGCTATTCTGCATTGCATGGGATAGTCACTGGTCTAGGAAGGGATAAAAGGATGGAGGTAGCAACTCTGTTCTTATGTATTTAGGATATTCCCCTATGTATGAAAGAAATGAAGTAAATGAAGTAAGGGAGCAAAGCTGTGATCTCTGCAGTCTCGGAGGGGATTGGTGCTTCTTCTCATTTACTCTGAAATAGTTTATAAAATGGGAAATAGGGAGCTCTCGTGGTGGGACCTGGGAAGGTAGAAAGTGAGCATGGGTTTTTCACAGCCTTAGAAGGTGCATTGATTTGTGGATCGATGTGGGGGAAAATGAGTCACTATATCTCTCCTCCAACCATGTTTTTTGCTTGGAGCCTAATGAAAATGACAGCATACCTGTTTTCTGATGTGATGAGTCCATGACAGAAAGACAAACATTTCTCTGTTTGGTGAATCTGGGTTTTATCTTGGGTGGTTTTGCAGAGATTTCCGTACTCCATGCAATCGCTACCAAATAAATGCACTAAGACTTCCCAAGCCAATGGCTCTGTGAGCTCCCTCTGTGCTTTGCTTCAGCACTTGCATGATTTCTGGGCTGGAGCTGGCTTATCTTTGCTCTGTTCAGAGGCTGAGAAAAACACTTGACCTGCACCGACCAGGTTGGGCTCTATAACCCAAAAACAAGTGCCACCAAGGACAGCAACAATAGAGATTTTGGACCATCTCCACCTGTTTCAAGCTGCAGAATATTTTAAATAAACATGGCATAAGCACCAAAAACATTTGAGCACAATCAGATGAAGGCAGAAACAACTTCTCTTAGTGGGCAGGTGGAGGGAAAGGTCTTAAAGATCTGCGTGTTGGATTTGGATACCTGAGATCACTTATGGACACTGCCCTTTGCTCTCAGTGAAGCTTGTCGTATTACTACTGCCCTTTGCCCTAAGTAATGAGTTGGGCTTTTAATATGAGAAAATGTGTGGAAACTTAGTGATATATTACCCAAATCTTATCTTCAAACATAATACTCACTCAAACAGCACGTGAATAAATTAATTCCTAACAGCAAAGCAAATGTACTGTAGCTTATTGGACTACTAAAAGGTAGTGTAAAGGTTGGTGCCACGATGCTGAGATATATACTTGAAACAACAGGTTTATTTGCTTTTTTTTTTTTTTTGAAAAAAAAAGTTGATTTAGCTCAATTTGAGGTTCTGCAGAAGCAATGTGAACACTTCTGATATTGGAAAATTACATTAAAATGTAGATAGTTTATATTATACATGATGATCAATTATGCATATGTAGATGTTCAACAACCGGATGTTTACCAGGTGTTAAGCCAATTATAACTTTTATGCCCTCTCCAGCATGTGACTTTTGGTCAGACTATACTGCATCTGTCACAGCTCAAATGTTTCAATAATTCATTTTAACTGTTCATTTTGCCTGTGGATCTTGTGGTTTTAAGAAAGAATGAATGTCTAATAAGCACATTTCTACTCTGAATCCAGAAAAAAATCCTTTCTATTTAGTGTATTCTGTGCCATTGAATTCACCCGATAGATTTTCAGAGAAGGAGTTGATCTGATTGCAGATACTGTTAAGGTTCCTGGTGTTTGGGGTAAAATACACTCCATGTGCATTTTAACTGCTTAATTTGTGCCACTCATGTCCTTGAATCAGAGCACCTGCACCCTGCGTGGCTGCTGCTGGAGTCCCGAGAGCAATACCAGTGTGCCCTGGTGTTTTTTCTCTTCAAACCATGGGTACAAAGTGGATGGGTCAATACGATCAACTCAGGCAGGTAAGCTGTAGGCTGAGCTTCCCAATTTATGCACATACCGATGTCCGATTCAACACAATAACATTGCAACATGTGTTTTTGCCCAAGGATTCGAGACTACATTAACAAGGCTGCCATCACCTTCCTTCTTCGGAAACGATATCAACATTGTCCTCCTCTCAGGAGAGTATCAGACACCAAATCGCTTCCGCTTCAAGGTTAAACTTTTTTTATTCTGTTTTAAGGTTCATGTTCTGTGCAAGATTTTAGGCTGGCTGTTACTGTGCAGTGAGGTTAGGAGGACTGGATTCATCCCTCTGATGCGCTCTCATGACTCCCACTGAAGTGCTTGGCTCCTCCTTTCTTTGTCCTCTCTGCTGTTGTAAGGCATCAGGTTAACAAGAGTTTAGCACAGTGGAATTTCTGCATGAAAAATTACTGAGACCTTTGAAAAGCTCAGCTTTTATATTATCTACCTTTTTTCCTCATCATAGGAAAATTTTGGGGATGAATGTATTTACTTCCTTTTTGTTTATGGCCTGGCCATAACTCTCAACCGTTTTGACAGACAACATTAGCTCTTCCAATTATTTCTGTTTTATATGGAAAACTCAACAGTCTGTGCCATGAACGTGGCGTATCGATGAGTTGTGGGGTTGCGCAGGACTTCTTCTGTGGGAGACCTTCCTCTTGTGGTGGGTTCCTGCTAAGCCAGGAAAACACAGGGTCAAATATTATGAGGGAAATGGCTGAAAATCGGTGATGAAAGTTGGAAGTGAATAACAATGAAGGCCGAAGAGGAGACTGGGGCAGGGGTGGAAATATCCTAAGTTAGAACTATGTGTCAATGCTGGAAAATGTTTGAATTAGGCATTAGTTTTTAAAAGTCCAACACTTCTGTTGTTTAAATATGTGCAGATCACTGATCCTAAAACACACAGATTTGAAGTCCCTCATGAGCATGTGCGATCTTTCACTGGATCCGCAGCCTCCAATTTAAACTACAAAGTGGATGTGAAGCAGAACCCCTTTGGCATCGTGGTGACCAGAGTGAGCAACGGTAGAGTGCTGTGAGTAACGTTGGTGCTTTTTCTGAATAACACAGATGTCATTGGTTTTCTCTAAAAGCCCATGTTGCCACGCAAGCAATGTCTGTCCAAGATGTCATATGTGAGGTGCCCTCTTGGACGTGTGATCTACTTCTTCTCTTCTTTTGACTGATGGATGTTCTGCAAGGACTTTTGCGAGGCCTTTGGAAACAAATTGTGTGATATGGAGAGCTCTGTCTAAAAGGTTTTAGGTCTGGCTCTCTGTTTGCTTCCCCCCGGTACTAGGGAAATCTTTACAGCTACTTTGTTTCATCAATTCGGGGAACTTTTATTATCTGAAGGACTCCTTGCCAGTGCTTCGGATCGCATGGGAACACTCTTCCTTGCATCTTTTATCTTATTTGTCGCAGTAATGCTGAAGCCCTGAATCGCCAAAACCAGGTTGCCCTTTAGACCTATGATATCCAAGAATAGCTGGTGCAAGGCACTGATAAGCTGGTCATGTAATGCTGGAAGTAAAATATTTGACGGACTCGTATATTGAATGCTTTCATGTCATTTAGGTTCTAAAAATAAATAAATAAAGCAAACCTACAAACCTAGCGGCATGGCTTTAAGACCCATTAGAAGGGGAAGTGTCAGGATGAACATGCTTATCAAATCAGTCCAAGAATGATCACCTGTCAGAGTACGAGGTCAGCTGAATGATCAATGCTTCAAGTTTAGTTAATTAGCAATTACGTTTGTGCTCTTATTAGTATTGCTTTCTTGCTTAGAATCCTCTATAATGATTGATTTGCAATTACGGAGAGCACAAAAGATGGACTTGGTATTCAGTAGTGCATGACTGATTAAACAGGTATATGGAAGGGGAATAGTGAAATCTAGTTCAACAGAACCATGTTGAAACAGTGCTCTGGAAGATAGTGTATACTTTCCTTAGGCTTTTGTTTAAATTGATGAAAGTGGTTGCATTTTCTGTCTCTCAAGAAAAAAATTACGATGATGCTTGACTCTGAGTTTGAGTATCTCAAAGAAAGCTGTTAGAGTGGGATAAGGGCAGCCCCTCAGGGATAAATCCTTGATGCATTTGTTTACACAAGATGAGTGCTTTCCCCCAACTCTTAAACAACCAAACAAAAGGGAGGCCTCTTTGGAAAAGGAAGAGTGAACCAATGTGTTATTCCAGCTCATTACAAAAATCCTAATTATCCAAACAGTTTTAAAGCCTGCAACCTTCCATCATCATTTGTCACACTTGAGCCCCGCAAAAGAGTTAGAGTTCTGATTGACCTATTACCATCATCATTTGCAAGACAAGCTGAAAAATTGCCATCATTTCATCAGAAAAAATCTAGTTCCAGTGCAGTCTGTGAGCAGATGGGCAAGATAGTCCTTGGAATCATTAAGAGTGGACAGAGATACATCAGATGAGGATTTGGCCTATGAAGCCTCTCTCAAGTGTCAGTATTTTTAAGTTTAAAAAAAATAAAAAAAGAAAAGGTAAACGAGCAGATTAAAATCGCAGCAAGCCCAGACTCCCCTATTTTTGTCTCTTGTTTGTGCAGTGTTTGTAATTGCTAGTGCACTGTGTTTTTATTTAATAGTTTAAGGACCTCTTTATGCATAAAAGAACTTACTGATAATGACATACTCATCGTGATAAACGTCGTTACAGTCTACTAATACATCTGAAGTGATGAAGTCCCTTAAAATTAATGTGGCTGTGTTTGCGTAAGTCGAGAGAAAGTTGTGTTACTCTCCCCTATATGAATATCGTGACTACTAAAACTACATAAAGTGAGTAGATAAAAGCATGTGGTTTAACTCACAATTGCATTCTATTTATGATTATTTCATTTTAAAAGTGACGACTGATGGAAACTCAAACTACTTCTGGGTAGGGGTCAATTTTGATACATTTTCCAATTCAAAACGTTCAAAATCTTAGAAGGACGAAGGAGGAAAATGAACGTGATTACATACAAAAGGAATGAAATGTAATGTTTTGATTAATTCCATGAGTTGTGGGAGATGCTTGCCCAGGATGATATTTGGTGTTGCTTAGGAAATGCAAAGCGGTTCAACCATTCCTGTGCACTTGGCTTCTTAGGGAGATACTTAATTGTATCGCTAAGATAAACATGACCAAAACCCCAGCATTCTTGTCACAGGATAGAAGATGACCACATTTTGGTGGTGTTGTGGGCACAGACCTGGCTGTAGAAAAACATCCCTACGGATGGTCCCCTCCATCCATCAGGAGTGAGGATGCCTAAGATGCCCAATGAAGCCTTTTTGGCACCATTGGGGACCGCAGGTGGGGTCACAACTTGAGGCACTTCTGGTCAAGGGAGTCTAGAGTCTGGTTCACTGTTAGGGCTGCGACAGCTCAGCAGAGGTAAAGGAAGGAGGGCAAATCAGTGAGTCCATTGCCTTGCAGTAAGCTGCTCCTTGGTGCACCTTGCGGCAGGAATCGGGCTGCCTCCCGCTGCTCTCTGCCTCATCACCGTTCAGATTTCCCCACCGTTTCCCAAGTCCTTCCCATAGAAACAAGGAGTGAAATCAGGTTTTGCTTAAGTATTTAAAGCTCTCGTAATCCTTATTTGGAAGACGGATTGTTTGTCTGTAATGAAAGGAAATGGTGAAAGGTGCAAAACTAAATTAACAGAAGAAACTTTATTAATGAAGTTGACTTTTCCTGTGTGTTTTGCTAATAGGTGTAAAGGAGGATTATTGATCTCCAGCTTGTTCTGTTTCTACAGATATATACAGTAGTCTCTGTATCTATTTTCAACACCACCAACTTCATGTTCCTTAAAAAGCTTAGCAGTTGCTTTATGCAGAATTTGCTACAGGAGATGTGATAGCCATCAAATGGGGTTTGAACCACGCTAAGGATCACATTATCACTTTAATCTGCGCTCATCTACGCTCGGTTTATTTGGGAGCTAGCATGTAGCCATAGTCTGCCTTTCCCTGTAGTCACTGGCCTAGCAGGACTCATGAGTGGGTCTTGTCCGTTTTCGCTGGCAAGCAAAAGCTGCAATTGATTTGCAAAATCTGATGGAGTGGATTATTTTTGTGTTTCTGCCCACCCACAGAAATTTTCTATCTGCCCTGTTGCTGTGAGCAGCCACAGAGAGTGGATTCAGGATTCGGAACAACAGGTGCAGGGCGGGAAGCTTTGGTGGAAGAGGGCAGTGCAAACGTACCCCTGAAAATAGATGGGCCACTTGTATGGGAGGTTTCTATAGCGTCAATGGGCACCGCTCACCTCGTCATCTGTGCAAGGGTTGCTCTGCTCCAGCCCCGCACCGTCCCGCCTCCCTCTCCTTCAGGTCTCTGGTGGAGACCTGAACCTGCTATCCAGCTCTAACTGCAAGGAGTAGAAACAATTACTGGTAAAATACTTTTTTAATTTTTTTTTTTAACTTGTTTCATCAGGTTTGATACTACCATAGGACCACTGCAGTATGCTGACCAGTTTTTACAGCTATCAATCAAACTACCTAGCAGCAACATTTATGGCGTGGGAGAGCACGTGCATAACCCCTCTGGAGTAAGGACTGGTTTTATTATGCTTCATTATTTGCGGATGACGTCTGGAATCCAAGCCTATTATGCAGTAGACACATTAATAATATCCACTGAGATTTTCCCTAAAGACTTTTCAGGCGCGGCATGTTGTTACTAAAAACTAGACGGTACTCATGAAAGTTCCCTGATTTCTGATTTTTGTGTGGACGTGCAGTTGAAAACCAGTTGATAAGCATTAATATATGAGAGCCTTCAGTTTCTACTGATAAACAAAATCAACAACAATATGTGCTAATGCATTGCTGTGTGCAGCATTCAGTACAGATGACGCATGCTTCTTCAGTGAACATCCTTGTAGCTCGGAAAACGATGGAAAAGTTCTCTTTAACAGCTGTCTCTTTACAAAATATATAAAGATATATTTGTCAGCAGTTATTTGTTCCTATAGTCTGAATGGCTGTCTCTTTCCAAAACGATTTCTGGGGCACCCATTTGTCAATAATTGTAAGACTAGCTGTTGCTATTGCCTCAGTTTCACAAAGCAACAACCCATATCCTTTTTTTGAGAGAGCACTTCAGTGTTTTGTTGAAATAGGGGCTATACTAATAGAAACTAGAGGGTGAGACCACTATATGTAATTAATTAATAATTTGGAATTTGTACTCCTTATCTTGAGACAACTTCTTACTATCTTCTCTGGTAGAAGATTGTTCTTACCAGAATGGCTCTACTGAGTATAAACTCATTAAGTTAAACTAACAGTGAACAGAATCAAGTTAGGCTCATTTCAAATTGCTCAAGTTCTGTTTCTCATTCATTTGTTCCGAGTTTTCTTTTGCAGGGGAAGAAGCACAACTATTGCAACAATTGTTAAAAGTTCTAAGGTTTTTGTTGCTAATAATAATGGAAAAAACATTAGAAAGGAAATAAAAAAAAGCAGCAAGGCACTCTCTTATTTCCATAGATTAGATGTAAAAATGATTGCCTCACAGGATTAATATAAATATAGATTAGATATAAAATCTAATCTATGGTGAAAGGTGATGAAAGCACTTTTCAGATTCTATTGTTCACTTGATGTGCATGTATATTACCCAGAAATAGTACTGCAATATACGCAGACTTGCCTGAAGATCCATCATATCTGCTTGCTCATGTTATCTACATATTTGGGGAAACATTTGTTTTAATTGACAATGTTCTCATAAAGGAGAGGAACGCCAGGAAAGAGAAAACAGAACAGTAGGAAGGTGTTAGGATTTTTATTTTTGTTGTTTGTTATATTTTGAGAAGTTTGAAGTTCTACCTGGGATATATTTTGAAATATCCCAGAACAGATACTGTTATTAGATTTTAATCAGCTGACTTTTCCTTTTTATCCTTTAAGGCAATGCATAACTTATATGGAGTTCAAACTTTCTTCCTGTGTTTGGAAGACAGCACTGGAGCCTCCTTTGGTGTTTTCCTAATGAATAGCAATGCCATGGGTAAGAAAGCTTTCTCTGTAGCTCCCAGCATTGCAGTTAAATATCTTTTTAAATGATCTGTGGGACTGGGATCAAAACTGTAGTGTTTGGTGCACGTGACGTAAGCAGTAAGTAGCACACAGTTAACATTAAGATTGTGCTGGAAACCTGAGGGTCAGAAACCTACCCAAAACCTGTGCAGCTCTGTGCAGATGTGTAGGACACTGGAATCGGAGCCTAAATTTGGAGGGAGCAATACTTGAAAGTAAATGCCCTTTAGGCTTTTTAGATAAGCATGCATATATGTATGCGTTACAGAGCTCTTCACATCTCTTGAGGCTGGAAAGTTGTGCTAAAAATTTAAAGATAAAAGGTTGAGCTATTGGATTTCTTCTGATTCTCTTCTCCGTAGGATGTAAAGGAATGGAATTATGGACATTTAAAAGAGTCATCTGAACACATTTCCCCTTCATTGCAAGTTCAATTAATGGTTTTGGGTTTCCTAGGTATTTCTGTTTTGTGTTTTTTTTCTTAAGTAAATTTTCTAATCATCAGTTAGAAAATTACAAAGTTGTTTTAGAATTAGCTGGTATTCAGAATTGGTTTTGTGCACTCTTGTCCGGCAGAGTTTGTGGTGCAGCCTGCTCCAGCAGTGACCTACAGAACCATTGGCGGGATCCTTGATTTCTATATGTTCTTGGGGAACACTCCAGAGCAAGTAGTCCAGGAGTACTTGAAGGTACCTTTAGCTAGAGAGACTATGCATTGAACAGACTTTTAAAAGTGCTTGGGATTTTTTGGTGTTGTTTTTTTTTTCACTGTTTTATATGACAGTATGTCTTCACTATGTTATCTATTACCATAAAATACAACTCAGTATATATTTAACTAAGAATAGTTGTTAGTATGTCCCTAATGTGACTGCTGTCATTAGTAATAGCTAGCTGGGGTTAAGCTGGGGTGTAGATGTTTTTAGCTGGCCTGTTACGGGCAGCTGAAACTTAAGCACTAGTTTTGCTGGAGATGTTGGAGCAGACATCATTCAGCAGCTCGAGGCCCACGACGTTTGTAGCTGCTAAATTCATCAGTCTGTATGGCCTGACTGATTTACACAGTGCTTATTGGAGCTAGAGATGGTCTACATGGAATAACTTATGCTTCCTTGCTGAGGGTCACTCTTGTTATAAGGACAAATTCCTGTTCATATGACAATATTATAGAGTAGATAATGTGCTTACAGGTATGTCATGATTTTGTGGTCATAAGATATCAGTGATATCTTTTGTACTTCTTGAGATCCGCTTATGTTTCAGTGACACCTTGAAGAATGGGCATTGTCCCAAAATATTTGTATTTCTTAAAATTAAAAAAAAAATCATAGAAAAATATTGCATTTGTGAGTGGGCTGCTCATTTCACCCACTCAAGCTTATGTATATTATTCAAATAAATTTGAGGAGTATGGATCTGGGGAAATGGGCACTGAGGTGACACATGCAGTGTCCACTGACAGTGCGTGGGATTTTTGCTCTCAACTTGCAGCTCGTGGGACTGCCAGCATTGCCCTCCTACTGGAGCCTGGGCTTCCAGCTCAGCCGCTGGAATTATGGGTCTCTGGATGAGGTGAAGAGAGTTGTGGAGCGGAACAGGGCAATTGGACTCCCTTATGTAAGTATGGGGTTTGAGGAGGGCAACAACCCCATGAAGGCAGAGCTCTGCAGGAGAAATGACCCAGAGATTCTGACCACCGTGTTCCACAACTGGCTAGTTTCACATCAGTTTAAATTAGTAAATTTCCAATATAAAGGCTTCTGGTGTCAAAGGCTTTTATGTATTTTAATGGTAGACCCATTATCAGAATGTGGGACATAGTGGGGCTTAATTACAGTTAGTTATATTTGAATACTTAATTGTAATACTTTTTCAGTTATACTTTCCAACTATATCCACTTATCTTCTCATATTACCTAATCCATGATTTTTTTTTTTTAATTGTCCTGTGTACAATTATGGAACCATATATTGTTCTTAATTGGCAGCCAAAGGTAAAGTACAATTAACTTTTAAAATTAGATTTCAGATTACATTAGCCTGATGGCTTAAATAGAATAAAAATAACCTAATTTTAAGCTAAGAGTTGAGGAAGAAATGTTTGGATTTAACGGGATAGCCCTTGAAGTCAGGCAACTGCAATGAAATAGCCACATGTCCAGGGGCTATTAGAAAGGATTCCAATATATACATTCATTTAAATTCTGTTAATATTAAATGTAGGTCTTTTTAGGCACAAAAGATGTGTCAGTACCATTAATTAAGGCTGTAAGTATGAGAAGAGATGCACATTGTTTGCAAGTGGTCCTGACAGCATACTTTCTGCCAGGCTGCAGTAAAGTCCCAACAGTAAATTCACTATAGGACAAATGGGAATTGTCAGAAGAAATTGTGTTGGACTAATGTACAAAATCTTTGCATATCACTTCTCATGTTAAAGCTGAGCCCCCTTCTCTTTCAGGACGCTCAGATCACTGATATTGACTATATGGAGGAAAAGAAAGATTTTACTTATGACAAAGTGAAGTTTCGAGATCTCCCTAATTTTGCAGCTTATATGCATGACTATGGACAAAAATATATTATCATATTGGTAAGCATTTAACTATTTCTTTTTCCCTTGTAAATACTATCATTATAACTATTTATTATTATTCTTTGCTTATTCTATGTAATTATTACATTTCTTGCTTAACATTCTAGTAGTTTATAATAATTGATGGAGTGTATCTTAGTTTCTTCCTATTTTTTGTTTTCTAATTTTTTTTTTAGGATCCTGCTATTAGCACACAAAATCTAGTTGATGGTAGTCCATATGGAAGCTACATCAGGGGAGAGAACAAAAAAGTCTGGGTTAATGAATCAGATGGAGTAACAGCATTACTTGGGGAGGTAATCACGTTTTTATGAATTTGAACTTGGTCTGTTGTCACTGTTATGGTTTAATTTAGGTCAGGGGCTCCTTTTAAACTCTCATTTTCTAAGTTGCTTCTTTCAGTAAGATTACCTGCCAGTGAGAACTAAGTTTATAAGGTCCTATTTAGGATATGATACTTCTCAACCTTTCCTGATTTTTTTTGTTGCAATTTTTTACATTAAACAAAAAAGAAAAATAAAGTATCTTGAAGTCTCAAGGGACAACTCATCAGCCAGCTCCTATTTATTTTCAGTAGCAACTGAAGAGCCAGCTCCCACGTTATGCTTTTAATTTATAATTTTCACTTCTATTGAGACTTTTTTCTGTTGTGTATTGTTCCTTGTATGACTTAAAAGAAAAACAATTGAAAACTCCAAAGTTAAGAAACTCATACTCTTTTCTGCCTTCTTTCTGCATGCAAGCTATTGTCACTCTAGCAGTTTGTTGTTCAAAAGTCTTCATCGGAGCACTATATTAGCACTGGGGGCAGGTGGACAACAGGCTGAACGTGAGTCAGCAGTTTGCTACTGCAGTGACGAAGACAAATCGGATCCTGGGCTTCATCCACAGGGGCATTACTAGCAGAGATAGAGATGTGATCATCCCACTCTACTCAGCACTTGCCAGGCTGCACCTGGAGTACTGTGTCCAGTTATGGTCCCCACAATTCAAAAAAGATGTAGACAGGCTGCAGAGGATCCAAAGGAGCTCCATGAAGATGATCAAAGGGCTGGAGAACCTGCTCTATTAGGAAAGACTGAAGGAGTTAGGTCTTTTCTCCCTAGAGAACAGAAGGCTCAGAGGGGCCTTCATCACAGTATTCCAGTACTTAAAGGGCAGCTACAAAGAAGACAGAGGCTCTTTCTTCACAAGGAGCCACAGGGAAAATACAAGGGGCAATGGGTACAAGTTGCACCCAAAATATTTTACAGTGAGAAGAATCAATCACTGGAACACCCTCTTCATGGACATGGTAGAGTCCCCATCACTGGAGGTTTTCAAGATGTGATTGGACAGGGTGCTAGATGATCTCATCTGCGTTCTCTTTCCCGTGAAAGGTGGGACCAGATGATCTTTCAAGGTCCCTTCCAACCTCGGCTGTTCTGTGATTCTATGAACTCTTTTTAATATCATTAAAAGTTTAATTAATTATTTCCCTTTTAATATTGCAGGTGTGGCCAGGGGAAACTGTGTTCCCAGACTTCACCAACCCAGACTGCACTAGCTGGTGGGTGGAAGAATGCAAACTGTTTTATAACGTAGTGCCGTATGATGGGATCTGGATTGTAAGTAATTCAGAACTTTCATTTTTATTTTTAAAAATAAACAAGGGTAGGTGTTTATCAAATTCAATTTGCATTGAATTTGAAAGGAATGTTTACTATTACTAACCTGAAATCAGTGCGGGATGTGTATGACTTCTGGTGTTGTACTGCAATTAAAATTTGAATTTTAAATTTTAATTTGAATCATTATTTGTGGCATTTAAATGATCAGTGTGCTGGTTTTTGGATGTTCAGTGACACTTTAAAATGCTTCAATTGATGAACCATTGCTAAAGGCAAATGCTAGCACACTCCTGTACTCAGAATGGCAATATTTGGAGACCTGCATGCCTGCTCAGTGAATGTGTCCTAAACAGGTCCTGAATACAGGGTATAATACATATAACCTATGTATCTATGCTCCAAGTAGCTCCTGGAATTTCCGGTTAGTGAATCTGCAATTGCTATTCCAGATAAGGATTTGGAAAAAACAGGCTCCCTCAACAAGTTCTCCCACAAAAGGACTAAAATAGAGTCTGGCACAGTGGATTTTAGGTACAGTTCGTGGAAATCAGATGAGATTAAGAACCATTTTGACTGACCAGATTAGTTTTTTAAAGGAAGATCCTGTAATAAAGCTTCTAAAAATGCATGCCTGAAGGAAATCTATACTTAAATAGACTTTACTTCTCAATCCCTGTCTCAGCGCCTTCTTCCCCTTATTCTTTGTGTGTTTTTCCTACTTCCTTTTACTTAAAAATAAATAAATATTTCAAAAGAAAACAAGAACCTACTGAATATTTTGCCATGCTGTTTAAAAAGCTGTAACAATTTTAAATTAACCTGTATGGCAAAATAAAGTCCTTCAGCTGCTATGTGATAGAAAGAATTTTTCTCACTTATTTTTGCTGACTCTGTGGTTCCATCAAGTCAAGCTATGGAGTGTAGGACTGCACAGTTCTCTTATAGAAAGCAAATAATTTGAGTGAAGCAAATTGGTCACTAGACTACATTGCCTCCATGATGAATTTACTCCCTTCTTCCATGCATGCTTCTCCTGCAGCACGTTCAGGGATGCACATAGAAATGCACTTACAGCGCTGCCAAATAAAATATTAATGGAAGGAGACAGCAAAGTTTGAAAGTATAATGGCTTGGAAAGTATTATAAAGGAGATGCTTAAGAATATCTAGTCACCTTGTGTATTTTGACAGAAAGTTACAATGGACATTTGCTGGTTCTGCATTTCTCTCCAAACACACGCTCCATACCAAAGACATTTCCTTGAGATGTGTGGAGTTGGTCATAGGTAGGAACAGTGTATACATGAGCACCTTTTGCAATTTCTTTCTGTGGAGGGATAAGGTGCAGCACTTGTGACATGACGCTCACCTGCATATAGAAGTCTGTCCAACATTGAGATCTAAATTAATACAGGAATGGACCAGGTCAGTATCTGAGTTATTTCATTCTTGCCTAATTGTATGGTACTATTTCTAAGTAATTATTCGTTAAAGGATAAGAGAATAGAACATAAAACTTTGTTAGGAAAACGTACTTGAGGAAACTTTATTACATTCTGCATCTTATTTTTTCAGGATATGAATGAAGTATCCAGCTTCATTAAAGGCTCAAAAAACGGTTGTGCGCAGAATGACTTAAACTATCCTCCTTTCACTCCCAGTAAGTCCATCTACTTTTACCAGAAAGCAAAATATCAAAAAGTTTATGAATTACTGTGCAATTGACTACAAGGATGCAAAGTGATTTTCATGTAGTTCTTATGGGTGGGGCTTGAATATTACTATTGACAGAAAATACTGGTATATTTTGGCCCTCGTCAAAGGCTTGGTTTATATAACTGGCTTTTTTCCCTTTTCAAATTATTACTGAATATTGTCATTGCCTTAATTATGTCTGATAATATAATGAACTTTTTTCACTATCAGTAGTTTTTGAGATATATGCAGAACTAAAATGGAGTTCAGTCTGTATTAAGTAGTAGGTTTAAGTAACCATTGCCAACGTGTTGTCAGATAATGATTCAGAAATTTAGAGCGTAGTTCTCAGTTATTCCTTGCATGGGTGCAAAGCTTAAGAATAGAAAAGGTCACAGGGCAAAGATCAAAATCAAATCAATCAAACCAGCAGCCAAGAGTAGCATTTTGTTTTTGTAGTAGTAATACTGGCTTTAATGCAAACACTAAAGAGAAAAAAAGGCTTGAATGCCATGAATGTGCATTAAAGAAAAGATTGGAAATATTCATAATAAAAATGTACTTTAAAAGTGATATTTGTATTCCTTTATTGAAGGTATTCTTGACAAGCTCATGTTTTCCAAGACACTTTGTATGGATGCAGTGCAGAAGTGGGGGAAACATTATGATGTCCACAGTCTTTATGGATATTCCATGGCCATATCAACACAGAAGTAAGGAATGCATCCTAAAATTTTTACAAAGAGGTTTCACAACAGTACATGTCCTGCATTTTCCAAAACAGCAAGAGATTTCACTTCTAAAGGAACCCCATTCCTGGAAAATACTGTATTATATTTAAGCCAATGCATTTAAGGCAAAATCTACTAAAGTTAGTAGTAAAAGCCACACATTTGTTGTCAAAGCTGTATATAAAGATTACTTAAAATTAATGTCTTGAACTTTGCTAAAAGACACCTGCTTAACTGTAAAGAAGTCCACATCCCTGGGATGAATAATTATTGTAAATCAGTCAGCGTAAATCTGCCTTATATAAAATGACTGATGTCCAAGTTGTCTTTTTTCCTTTGTATAATTCCAGTCTCATTTCCTTTAAGGGTCATTGAAGCATTGTTTCCTGGAAAACGAAGCTTCCTTATTTCGAGGTCTACTTTTGTTGGATCAGGAAAGCACACAGGACACTGGCTGGGAGATAATGCAGCAACATGGGATCACTTAAAATGGGCAATACCTGGAATGTTGGACTTTAACCTCTTTGGAATTCCTTATGTATGACATTACTTTGTGACATGCTTTCAAAACATATGGATAAACAGTAACTCTACCTCTGTGATAACAGATTATCTAATCAAACACTATCTAGATAACTATCTTACATTTTCAGCTCCAAATTAATCCCCTTTAGGAATCTGGTTTTAACTTTCTTTTTCAATTATTGATTTTTGGTTTAGGCCACATTTTTATTATTGTGGCTGTGTGTGTGGTGAGACAAATGTGGGTAACAAACATCTAATTGTCGTGGTTCAACCTTAGCTGGCAACTGAGCACCACACAGCCACTCGCTCACTCCCCCTGCCCCAGTGGGATGGGAGAGAGAATGGAAGAGTAAAAGTAAGAAAACTCATGGGTTGAGATAAGAACAGTTTAATAATTGAAATAGAATAAAGTAAAATAGTAATAGTAATAATAAGAGAATATACAAAGCGAGTGATGCACGATGTAATTGCTCACCACCCTCCAACCGATGCCCAGCCAGTCCCCGAGCAGTGGTCACCGCCCCCCGGGCAACTCCCCCCAGTTTATATACTGAGCATGACGTCATATGATATGGAATATCCCTTTGGCCAGTTTGTGTCAGCTGTCCTGGCTGGGCCCCCTCCCAGCTTCTTGTGCACCTACAGCCTTCTCAGTCAATAGAGCATGGGAAGCTGAAAAGTCCTTGACTAGTGTAAGCACTGCTAAGCAACAACTAAAACATCGGTGTGTTATCAACTTTATTCTCATACGAAATCCAAAACACAGCACTAAACCAGCTACTAAGAAGAAAATTAACTCTATCCCAGCTGAAACCAGGACACATATATCCCAAGCTACCTGTTACTTCTAGTAATTTTTAAACACTAGTGATCGATGTGAAATGCTTTGGTGTTTTCCTTATAATTTCAAATGAAATAGAGACATCCATTTAAAAGGGAAATAGCCAAATTCCTTTCCATGATTTAAATTTCTATGACTCTTGAGCTTTTTTACTAATATATGCATATTAACACCAAAGAGGAAGGTAAAGGTTTGGAAGAAATAGAATGATGGGCAATGTTAGCTAGTAATCAGTTTAATTTTTTATACAACATAGTTGAATTTGAAAGAAGAAAGGTACAAACGTGTTGAATGGCTCGGTCACTCTGGCTAGCAATTAAGATTGAATTAATACATCTCTGAAAACTAGAAGTTTTGTGTAGGGATTAGAGGTGCAGCGTACTGCACATCAAAAACATTCTGTTTTTATTTAAAGATTGGAGCAGATATTTGTGGTTTCTTCGACAACACCACAGAAGAACTTTGCAGACGATGGATGCAAGTAGGAGCATTTTACCCATTTTCCAGGAATCACAATTGTGAAGGATTCATAGTAAGTTGTGCTTTCTCTTACAAAATGCTTTGTGTTACACTACTGCATTCCCTTTAATAGTATCACTGGTAATCATTACTATCACTGATGATTATGTTGCTGACCGGTTTGAAAATGGCAGAACCTTAAGCTCTTTTTATTAAATCTGAGAGGTTCAGCTTCATAAGGGTTAATTGCATATACTTGAGACTACACTTATTTGGCAACAGTTTCATGACTGTAGGTTGTGCCTGTCACCAAGGGCAAGCACTCAGTGCTGTGTGACCCATCAGACTGATTCTTGGGAGACCTTTAGCATGCACCTGACTGCATGCCAGGATGAAACCGGGGCTAACCCTGATGCACCCTCAGTCCAGATGGGCAAGGAGGGATGTGTAGTGGAAAACATGGTGAGCCTGGAGGAGCAGGACCTCAGGCCACACCACCCAGAAGGCAAACACCATGCAGATGTGCACCACTGAATTTCTGCCTCTCTGAAACAGCAGCCACTTTTCACATGTTTGGCAGAGTGTTTTCTGCATGATGAAAATGATAATCATCTGATATTTGTTTTCAGCCTCAGGATCCGGCTGTGTTTGGACCTGATTCAGTCTTGGTGAAAACCTCCAAGTATTACTTGAACATTCGCTACACTTTGCTGCCCTACCTGTATACACTCTTTTATAAAGCTCATACTCAGGGAGACACAGTTGTACGGCCAGTTTTGCATGAGTAAGTTTACTCACCAGCCTTTGTGATAGTTTCATGAGGAATAAAAAAATCAGACACATTAAATGTTGTTACGGACTATCTAAGCAAATACAGCCTGTGAAAATGCACGTTGGAATATATATAGACAACTTCTCAATTCATGAAATACCATTTTAGAGTAATCAGAAGAATAATCAGAAACCATCTGTAATTTCTGCATATATGCATACATTATTGTCAGTCACTCTTCTGAGTTGCTATGAGGTGTTATTGTCAGCTAATCAAATTATTCTCCACCGTCATATATATACCTTAGAATATATGTTTCCTTGCCTGGAAACTCTTGAATAAGCTGTGTCAAGAACACACGCACACCTACACTTTCACACATGTGTAGAGAATACTGACTAAACTAGTAAGACCTTACCTTCTCATCTTCAGATTGCCTCAGATTAAAAAAAAAAAAAAGAGGGCAATTTTGAGCTGGCATTCTTCAGTCATGATTCTAGACAATCAGTACCCTGAAATATGGGGATTGCTGATGATGGTATAGTTCACGAAAAACGAGTTGCTGCTATATCCTTCCCACTTGCCCAGGTTCTACTCTGATGAAGTGACGTGGAGTGTCGATAGGCAGTTCCTGTGGGGCCCTGGGCTGCTTATTTCCCCTGTACTTGACCCGGTAGGTTTGGCTGTTTTGGTATCGATCTCATAACCAGTTCATGGGGCGCAGGGACGTGTCGAGTCACCAGTCCAGCTCTTTTCTCTGGCAGGGGGCTGCGGCATAAAAACCCCAAGTTACGCTATGCCTGTCACTCCTTTATTGCCCCGATCGAAACCACCTTCCAGTTCTGAGCCTTTGTTGTTCGGTCTTGTGACGACTCTGTTATTCAGCTTAAAGGTTATAGCTCCTCTACTATATCTGTATTT